CAGGGGGCGGGGCTGGCTGGCATGTGGTGCTGGGGGATTGAACCGCGGTCCCTGATGCCTTGCCAAGCTTGTTCCAAGTAGGTGCTTTAGACCACTGAGCCATCTCTCCAGCCCCTGAGTACTTTGTTATCTTGCAGAAGACTACAAGCAGCCAAATGTTTTCAGAAACTTCTTTGAGTATCATCATAGATCAGTATTCATACCAAGGTCTTTAGAAGGCTCAAGTTTTCAACCATTTGTGTTCCAAGAAAAAGAAAAGAGATTTTTATGAATCCTACACAAACTTTGTGACTTATTTCTCTCTTTTGCTTCCTCCCTTCCTTCTTTCACTTAAAAAGTCAGATACTTATCCCTCACAACAGGAAGTTGGGGGGGTAAATGGTTCTAGAATCAGTATAGTAGCTAAACGACATTATAAAAGACCTAGCCTCTGCTCAGTGGACTAAAGCACCTGCTTAGGCAGACACAGGAACCGGGGTTTGATCCCTGGTGCTATGCTGGCCCCGCCCCTGGGGCATGCTGAGAAGAGGACTGAGACTGGGCATAGTGGCACCCGCACCTATAATCCCAGTACTTGGGAGGCTGAAAACAGGAGGATCACTACAAGTCCCATCTGTGTAGTGAGACCCTGTAAGGCCCTGTACTAAAATACATTAAAAAAAAAAAAAAAAAAAAAGACCCAGCCTCCTGTCTTTCCCCTTTATTATTTTCTCATGTTGCTTCTTACCTCATTGGAGACTAATTTCTTAGGTGGAAACTTTAAATTAGTATACCTATTAAAGGTTGAAAAATAGAATTTAATGAATTCTAGAATAAGGATTCTGAATTATTTATTTCTCTTTTTGGAGGTGTTAAGGATCAAACTTAGGGCTTCATGTATGGTAGGGAAGCACTCTAACACTTTGTTAGTCTGCTAGGCTCTGTGGTTTCAAGTGTTTTTTATCAAGTGCCTCCCATTCCTCTAATTTATGTTGAAGATAAGATCAGGTTTAGTATTTAATAACTTCACTGATATTGCTCTATCTATAACATATTTGTGAAGGAGCAGGCTAGATTTTGTTTCCAGTATAGTACCAACATAATCTGTTTTATAAATCATTTAATCTTTGTTTTCTTACCTGTAACATGGATGATATTTTTTATTCTTCTACATGAGATTTTTGGAGGATTAAGGGGGAAATTTTTCTATACTTAAAAGGTAGTTGACAAGTTATTACATGATTATATTTCATCTACATGAAATTAAAAATAGCTAACTGCTTTTTCCTTCTCAGGCTTTTTTTAAAAAATGTATTTGGAATGGGTCTATAGGGTCTTACTACATAGATCAGACTTATAGTGATCCTCCTGTTTTCAGCCTCTCAAGTGCTGGGATTACAGGCATGCCGCCATGCCCAATCTCAATTGCCTCCCAGCGTGCCCCAGGGACAGGTAGGCAAGGCATGCCCTGGGATTGAACTGGTCCCTGTGTCTGCCTAAGCAAACACTTTAATCTGCTCAGCCATCTGGCTAGCCCTCCTCAGGCTATTTTTCAGAAGGGAGCATTCTTTTTTTCTTCTTCTTCTTTTTTGGCAGAACTGGGGATTGAACTCAGGCCCTTATGCTTGCCACACAAGCGCTCATTCTACTGAGCCATCTCCCCGGCCTGAGCATTCTTATTATAGTTAAAACATTTCTTTCAACTATAATTTCCCTTAAGTTGCTTGAGAAAGAAGTATAGTTATACCTAAAATTCTTTCCATCTTTATCGGATATACTAGTGGAATATGAGTGATGTTTTCCTATTTTATTTCCTATTCCTGTACTCAGAATGAGCAGTCTGTCTTCATACTGGATAAGAAGTCAGAAGCGAGCCTGAAGTCAAGTTGGGTGTCTCTTGACAGTGCAGTTTGCAGGCTCCTACCTCATTTCCTGCTAATTCCACTTGCCCTGTAGTCTGGGTCGAGTGGGCAGCCCACTATTTTAAAATTAAAATAAAAGATATATATCTACTTTGAAAAAAAAGGAGAAAACACTGCCTATATGTAATATGAGTAAACTAGATATTGGTAATACATCCATTTGTGAAATGTATTACTAATAATATTAGAAAATAATCAATACAAAGTCTCTTACCTTGGCTCTTTTCCTGGCATGACCATGGTTGGATGTCCGCCTCTGATAGAAGAAGATTAGAAAATATTAAAGGTGGAGAAAATCAACATTTAAAAGAAACATGTTCACAGCAAAAAAAGCACTAACTATGAAAACCACTAAAATACTTGCTAAACTATGAAGAAAATCTCTTGGTTTATTTGTCAAAATACCCACTCAAGCAACTGTGACATGGAAGGGTCCCCGTAGCACATACAGTTAAATCACTTCATTATGAAAATAAAGAACTAAAAGAAATAACTTGTCAGTGGGATTTACAGATTGATAAGCATTACTTACTGACAAACCATAGAATCTTTTTCTAATTAAAATACTTCTAAAAATGTCATTACCATAGCATGAAATAATATTGTCTTTTCTTCTGAGTTTGTTCAAAGGAGTATACATAGTCTACAATGGAAGTGAAATATGGTCCCTAATTATCACTTATAATAACATCTTTATGAAGGAACATCAGATTTTCAACTTGGAATGCCCAAAATACTTCTCCTTGTAGCTGGGAAAATGGAATAAGAAATCTTCCCACATGCCTCCCTACCTGAATATGAGAATCCTCCCAGTTCCAAGCTCCTGGTGGTGACTTGCTTGGGTCAGAGATATGAGATAGGGTACAAAAAAAGGATAAAACCTCCAGACCGAAAGGAACAGAGAGGGAGCTGGAGCCAGGAAAAAGCTGGCAATAATAAAGAACAAAAACCTGAGGTGAGATGAAGGAACAGCTAATTAAATGGTAAGATTTCTGAACATATATGAATTCTAAATAGGAGCTTTAGGAAAGGGGTGGGGGTATGGAATGTATTGAAGTTAGGGCATGGGGCAGCAGAAACAAGAGGCAGAATACCAGGATAATCTTGGGTAGGGGAAATTTCTCTCTCCTCTTCACTAGTTAGCAAACATTGCCAAGATGCAAAACGATGAAGTGGGAAAGTAGACAGAAAGAGTAAGAAATGATGGTGGAGTTGGTCAGGGTAAGACCTGCTATAGCGAGAAGATTTATAGTCCAGAAATATGTAGTATATATTTGCCACTATTTTTTTCAAATAGAAAAATATATATACTGGAGTTACATTTTGAACAGTTAAGTCTCCTTTCATATTTATCCCTTGGATACTTGCTTCTGTCCATAAGGGTCAATGAGTACCACCTGCCTCTGTCTCTGTCTCTGTCTCTGTCTCTGTCTCTGTCTCTGTCTCTGTCTCTCTCCCTTCCCTCTCCCTCTCCTTCTCCCTCCCTTTCATATATTTGGTACAGGGTCTCAACACACAGCTAGGACTTATAGTGATCCTCCTGTTTTCAGCCTCCCTAGTGCTGGGATTACAGGTATGCATAATGCCATGTCTTGGTGGCCAGCTTAATGCGCCTGGGGGCAGGGACAGTGCCAGGGTACCATGTGGTGCTGAGGATCCAACCCTGGTTCCTGTGCTTGCCTAAGCAGGCACTTAGTCCACTGAGCTATCTGGTCAACCCAAGTTTAAATGATTCTGATCTTAAGTATAAAATTATCCTTATCACTGAGTATATCTATAAGTACAGAATATTTGTATCCATTTAAAATTTTTATAGAGTTTTACTAAACTGTCCTTTAAAGTGTTATACAAATTTATACCTCTATCAACAAAGTATAAGTCTACTTACTGCCCAGGCTGGTTAGTTTTCAACAGTTAAACAAATGTAGAATGGCTAATCTGCAGTAGATATCATGCTAGCTACTGAAAGATATACAGATAAAAGACACAAGCCTTGTTAAAAAGGAATTCATAATCCTGTTGAAGACACATACACAATTACAATACAGTACATTATGCATGTTAGAGGGATACTCACAGAGTACTACAAAAGCATCTCACTCAAATATATGCAAAGCACTGTTAGGCCTTAGAGATACAACTGCAGCCTAAAACTACCTAATCCAGTACCTCATGAAACTTGAAAATTTTGTGCAGAAAACATATTAAGCAAAGAACAATATAGACCTGCAACGAATATATGCGAAGTACTGTTAGGCCTTAAGAGATATAACTGCAGCCTAAAACTGACCTAATCCAGTACCTCATGGAACTTAAAAATTTTGTGCAGAAAACAGATATTAAGCAAAGCACAATATAGACCTGCAATGGGTAAGGTTGTCAAGGAAGGTATCCTGGAAAAAGCTATGTCTGCATTGAATTAAGAAAGGTAAACAAATATTATACATTGGAAGGAGAATTCAGGATTTGGAGGAGTCCAAAAAAGAACCATAAGGAGGGCATCCTAGGCAGGGAAGGAATATACCAAAGAATGCTTTCCCCAACTTTTTTTCCCCCCATTCTTTATTATAAGGAAAATACACAGCAACATGGGTAGGAAAGTAGTAGGGATGAAAGAATATGGAAAATGTTATCAAACAAACTGCCCAAATACAGCTTCTTGTTACAGAGGAGAATGATGTGGCTCTTAACCTCATTTGCCTTTCTTGGCTCAGTCTTATCTTTAGCAGGGCTAGATGCAATGGTTCCATTTTCTGATCTCTTTTCTTCCTGAGTTTGGGAAAGGTTGTACAGATCTCAGGCTTTCAAGAAACAAATGATAGTTTGGAGAAGGGAAAGCTGTTCCATTGCCTTCTCCATGCCTGTGGGGTTGTCCTCAGCCCTATCCCTCAGTATCTGTTGATGTCAAAGAGACAAACCCCATGGAACTGGGGCAACTTAGGCAGCAGTACACTAAACAGTGAGGCAATGTTGATGAGGAAGTGGGCAGCATCATACTTGGTATAAAAGCTGGCCAGAAGGTAGAATGTAATAGGATAGGAGAGACACTAAGGAACTTTCAGGAAGAGATAATCTGGAGGCTCAAGTCTATGTGCTCCCAGTGTGTCAACAGGCTTCACAAATTTACATGTGATCCTTGTGCAGGGTCCATGCTAATCTTTTCTGTATAGTTCCAATTTTAGTATATGTGCTGCTGAAATGAGCATTCCCCAACTTTTAAATTTCTGTTTGTAACAGGGTCTAAGGAACCAGAAAACATTTAAGCACAGAATGCCACAGGTGATGGGTAAGGGCCTGGGTCACAATAAATATGCATCATATTGAGAAATAACCTACCTAAGGCCATAAAATACACAGAAAACTTCAAGAGTACACAGTTATTTATTTTTTTTAAGAGTACACAGTTCTTTATTTCACAATCACCTTTCTAAAGCCACACAATAGATGAATCAGAAAGGATTAGAAGGTTAAAGGCAAAAAGCCTACCTAGAAGGCCATATCCAGCTGGTTAGTTTTAGAACACACCCGAGTTCATTATGTGTGAAGTGAGGGCTTGGCATTCTACAGAGAAGCTCAGAGCCCACACTTTGTAGTGCTGCATCCATGCAAAAGATGTTTTCAGTTCCAGTTACTTCCCCCAAACTTTTCAGTAACAGCTCACACAGGGACTCCTTTGCTAGTACCAGCTAGATGCCTGGGAGGCTGTGGGAACTGAATGGAGGGAAAACAGATGAAGGAGTAGAACTTTTAGTGTTGCTGAAGGTGCATGTGTTCTGTTAGGAAATGGCAGCAGGGAGACAGACTTCTAAGGGACTGCTCCATAGGGTCCAGGGAGGCAGATGAGACTAAAGATTTTGTAGAAGGACCAGGAACTCCCAATAGATGGTGGCAGTAGCCCCATCTGCTCCAATGGCAATAAAGAGTCAAATCACAGAGAAGGCAGATCCCCTCCAACCCTAGACCATGATTATTTGTATGCTCAAATGAAGACTTTTAAAACCAAATGAGGGGCCAGGAAGACAGCTCAGTGGAATAAGTGCTTGCCTGGCAAGCGCAAGGTCCAGAGTTTGATCCCTGGTACCACAAAAAAAAAAAAAAAAAAAGAGCGCCCAAAAAGAACATAAAACCTATAATATCCTTCGCCACCTATATTAAAGAAGTACACAACAGGAATTCAGAACATCATTTATAATAATCTGAGAATAGAATAATGTGGATCTAAAAGTTCAATTATTATTTTTCATGTAATAAAACAGCATAAAATTAAACATTCATCACACATCTGTCCTGAGCATTTAAAAATCATTACTGCTATCAGCGAAGGCTGGCAGAAGAGGTAGAAGTGCAAGACTGTCTCCTGGAAGGATAGGTGGGAATGACAATTCACATGTAAAAGATAACAGAAAGAAAAGCAGCCAGGAATGAAATCTGGCTAACAGTAAAAAGAAAGACAAAGGAAAAGTTACATCTCAGAGAGCTGTCAGATTTTAATTCATCCCTTTATAATGCTGCTATTTTAATCTTTAAAGAGGACAAGGCCTTGATGAATTAAGTTGTCTCAAAAAATTATGCCTCAAGTTTCCAAGCCCTCCAAAATGCTTTTGTTTCTGCTTTTTAATCTAACTTATTGCTTGAGGCCTATCCCTGGGCTTATAATAAAGACCAGTCTCAAGGTTGGGCATGAGGAAGACATACAGAACTTGAACTTGAGTACCAAAAGAAATTAGTAGTGAACCAAGAGAGAAGAGCTGTAACAGGCTAGAGGAGAATCAGAGTACAGCTAGCTAGCACCAAAGATCAACCTTGGAAGAAACTTGGCTGACCATCTACTGTCAGTATTTCTGTACCATAGTATAGATGGATGAAAAAAATGTCAACCAAAGGGTAAAATTCTTCCTGCTTGTGTTGACAAAATGTCAAGTTCATAAACCATTTCTCATCTGGAAAATGCTGACTGCTTTGAAACAACCAGGATATGAATTTAACACTGTATAAAGCCAAACAGCTCTAGTTTTAAGTATTTTATTCTAGCACTGTGGGAGGCTAATGGAAAAGGATGGCAAGTTTGGGTAACTTGGCAACTTAGTAAAACTCTGTCTTCAATTTAAACGAAAGGCAGTGGGCTGGGAAGGCAGTTCAGTGTAAAGCTCTGGGTTCGAGCTTTAGTAGTGGAGAAGGGTAATATATAAGCCATTTCTTGATTTTTATATGAGACTGGGTCAGGCTATTTAAACCAGACTGGTCTTAAACTTGCTATGGAGCCCCAGGGACCTTGAATTTGTAGAAATTCTCCTGTCTTAGTTTTTCAAGTGTTGGGATTATAGACATGCACCACCACATCTGACTTTTTTTTTGGGGGGGGAGCAGGGGCAAGATCGTGCTATGTAGCTCAGGCTAGCCCTAAAATTGTAACGATCCTACTGCTTCCACCTCCAGAGTGCTGGGTTTATAACTATGTGCCATCACACATATAACAGACACACTTGTTAAATATGTATCTGTATACAGTCTATTTATCATGCATATATTTTAAAAACTTTTCTTTCTTTAATGGTGCTAGGGACTGAACCTAACATTTCATGCATGCTAGGCAAGTGCTCTGAGTTATATTCCCAACCCAATAGTTTGTTTATTGTAGTAAAGGGTATTAAACACAGGTAGCAACAGCTACTATTTAGCTCCTATTCCTTATTTGGAGATAGCATCTTAAAGACCAGTCTCAAGATTCCCGAGACTGGTCCAGAATTTGAGATCCTTTGCCTCAGTCTCTCAAGTAGCTGAGATTGTAAGCATGTGTCTCTGTACCAGATTCCAACAGTTTATTTTTTAAAATATTTTCTTTTTATTAGTACATGAAAGATTTTTTTGACACAAAATATGAAGTTGAGGAGTGATGGTGCACACATGTAATCCCAGCACTTGGCTGAGACAGGAGAATAACTATAAGTTGAGGCCACAACTAGAATAACTATAAGTTGAGTCTCTGGAAACAGTGAGACTGTGTTTCAGAAAACTCCCTCACCAAAAAAAAAGGTACGACGGCACATACTTATAATTCTAGCACTCTGGGAAGCAGAGGTAAGACAACCATTGAGTTCAAGCCCAGCCTGGAAAAGTCAGAAAATCCCCATCTCAAAAATAATTATTAAAAAGGGCTGGGAATGTAGCTCAATGCAAAAGCCTTGTCTTCAGTCCTAAATAAATAAATAATTTCTAAATGTAAGAACACACATACTCAGGCTCAAATAAACTAAGGATCTCATTCTTTTCTTCTTAGGTTTTTTTTTTTTTTTTAATGTATTTAGTACAGGGTCTACAGGGTCTCACTACACAGATCAGACTTATAGTGATCCTCCTGCTTTCAGCCTCCCAAGTGCTGGGATTACAGGTGCACACCACCATGCGCAATCTCAATCCCCACTTCAGTGCACCCCAGGGGCTGACATAGTACCCGGAGGTTGACCCTGGTTCCTGTGCCTGCCTTAAGTAGGCGCTTTAATCTGCTGAGCTATCTGGCTGGCCCTCTCCTTAGATTTTACCATGGATTCTATGATAAAACTGGAAGAAGTTTCTTTCTTTTTTTTTTTTTTTTTTGGTTCAGGGAATTGAATGCAGGATCTTGAGCTTGCCAGGCAGGTGTTGTGCCACTGAGCTATCTCCCCAGCCCTAGAAAAAGTTTCTTGAGAGCTCAAGTTGGGGTTCTTAAAAATCACCAAGTGTTCACACCAATGGTGGGTTTCTACAGATTCCCACTTATACTCAGGCAAAAAGAGTATGCACACAATGTACTTCTGATGTTTACCTGTGTCTCCTGACGCACACTTGTCTCTTCACATTCTTTCTCAACTTCTTCCTTACTTGAAGTCTTAGATATAAGCTTGTTTTTGCTTACAGATTCTTCCACCAGTTTTTTTTCAGATTCTTTCATTATTTCAAGGGTCTCTTGAGTAGTGTTACTGTTAGACATGTTCTTCAGTAGAATAGAGTAGCCTCTATGGACTCCTAAAGAAACATTAATGGCATGAAACATGAGGTTTGTGTCTCTGTACTTAACATGCAAGACTAGTATTTTACGTATGTCTCCTTATAGCCTACAAAGAAGTTCTGTGATAATCATACTACCCCTTGATTAATTTATTTTCTTTTTAAAATTTTATTGTGCTAAAACTGACATACAATAAACTGCATAACTGAAAATATACAATTTGGTTAATTATGACATATGTGCATCCTATAAAGCCATCATTGAGACAGTGAGCACATCTATCATCCCAACCTTCCCTTCCCTTCCCTTCCCCTCCCCTCTCCCCTCCCCCTCTGCTCCCCTCCCCCTTCCCTACCCCTTCCCCTTTCTTTCCCCTTCCCTTCCCTTCCCCTTTCCTTTCCTTTCCTCTTTCCTTTCCTTTCCCCTTTCCTTTCTTTTCCTTTCCTTTTTTCTTTTCTTTTCTTTTCGACAGGATCTTGGGCCAGGGAGATAGCTCAGCGGTGTGAGGTCCTGAGTTCGATGCTGGTACCACAAAAGAAAAAAAGTAAAGACTGGGTCTCACTATGTAGTTCAGTCTGGCCTTGAATTCAGTAGATAGCCCAGGCTGGCCTCAGAACTCATCACAATCTTTCTGTCTCAGCCTCCCAAGTGTTGGAATTATAAGTGTGTACCACCATTTCTAGCTAGAATTTTATATAAATGGAGCTAGATGCTATCTACTTAACTATTCAGCAGATTTGACAGCATTCTCTGTAGAAATGTGTTCACATTTTCAACTTAATTACTTAAACCAGGAGATTCCAGAAAGGGGAAAGAATTAACCTAAAACTCTGTTCATTACTAAAAGGAAAGAACTCTCCTTCTCCAAGGGAATACTTTCACAATTACAACAAACCACAACATGGTAATAAGCTTCAGGCTACTCTCCCATCAGAAAGCAGCAAAATCAGACAATGGTTGTAGGACCCTAAATTATTCCCTTTATTTTAAGCAAATTAAAAAGAGAAAAGAATTTAGTAACCATCTGTCCTTAAGAAAGACTGGGTCTCTACCTGGTGGAGGAAAGACTTTTTGGTGCTTTTCTTATTCCCCCTGCCCCCCAACACACACACAGCAGTACCTATGGCACATGTGATGCCTGGGAAAGGCTGTAAAGAAGCCAGTAGTTATTGAAGCATATACTAGGAAACAGAAATCAATGCTTTGGCCACAGATACATGT